CACACACACACACACACACACACACACACACACACAATGTGGAGGGATTTTAGTTCCGAATCAAGACAAATAAAACACGATTTATTCAAATAAGCCATCAAAAGTAAAACAAAAAATTGTCTGAAAAAATTATCGGTAGTGGCAAAAAAAGTTATTGCCTGAAATCTCCTGTTTTTAATAAAGCTCAATGTTTATTTGAGATTTACTTTGTAATAATTTAAGAATAAAATACGTCTAGAGTTTGATGCCAACCTAAAAACAAACGTTAAAGCTGCTGTCAAAGACTGACTGTAGTTTCCACGATAACCACATGATATTCTTAATGACAGGCAGACAGAAACTCAGCTTAGAAAGTAAGTCTCAAACCTTTTCGAAAACACCCCAGATACTTTGACTGACAGTTCTTTTCCTCATGTACATCTTATTTATTGTAATAGTGGACATTTGTTAAATAAATTGACTTTTTTTAAGAAACATTAGTTAATAAAAGTTGCCTCAGCCTAACTAAGCAAAAACTACAGGTCTTGCAGAAAATCTCCCTAAAGCTGCAGGAGTGTCTGGTGGTCATACGTCTGCCTCTCTCTGCGTCCCCAGTGTTTTGTGTAAGAGATACAGCAAATTAAAAAAGAGCTTTTATTCCCAGTGTTGGTGAGAAACCTCTGAGCTCAGATACAGTGGAAGTCAATAAGAGTTTGGATGTGTGCACTCTTGCAATCTTAGGCTACGTTCACCCTGCAGGTCTTAATGCTCAGATCAGCTTTCTCCTTGTGGTCTTTAACAGTCTAATTTAAAGTGGACCTCCATCAGACTGCAACAGTTCTTGGTCCTGAAGCAGAAGCTGTGACGTCACACGCCGCACGCTGTGTTTACAACAAGGAAACATGGATGCTACAATTTAGCATGTGTGGATTTATTCTGAAGTTGACTAAATTATCTGCTGTGCTTGTTTGATCTGATGTTTACATTCGATCTTACTGCTTCTTGTCTGCTCAGGAGCAGAATGTCACTTCTGGAGCGACTGAAAGTACAAACTTAAGTCTGGATCCATCATGTTAGTATGGATCTGATCCAGCACGTTGATGAATCTAGAAACTTTAAACAAGACGAAGCAGCTGCACGTCTGCTCTAACTGAAGACAAGCCGAGTTCTGAGCTGTAAACTGCAGAACATCGAGATCGATATCATCTGTATCTGGATCGATCCGTATCCCCCCCTTCAGCCAGAACTTCATCTGAGAGTTCTGAAGACAGGGAACTCTATATGTTTGGTGAAAATACGTCTCTTGCAAACAATAACAAATAAATAAAAACATAACATGATGGATCCAGACTTGTTTGTTTGTCCCGGAGAGGTTTTCTGAAAAAGCACTTTACTCTTCCCACTTGATTCTTTCTCCATGACTGAGTGAGCACACGGACCTACAGGATCACTGCGCACCTGAGGGGCCTCCACACGTAAACACGTTTGAGATTGAAGAACAATAATAAAAAAATACCTTTCCACACGTTGTTCAATTTATTCTCAGTCTTCTGTTGTGTTATGGCGCTCATGGATGCTAAAATGTTTTACTCAAGCAGTACTTGTCCCTAAAGCATCATTTTCTTCTGCGCTGCCAAAGCACAAAAAGCTGCGTGGAAAGTGTTTTACCTGGAAGAGAGTTGGGGGGACCTGTTTCTTTGCCAAGTGAGTCTGCACATGGTCCACTGCCTTCTTGGAAAATGGCTGCAACGAATAAAATGAAGGGTCATTAAAGATGCAGCGTTAACAGTTGTTTCAGTTCTGTTTTCCCTGAGCAAGGACATATGTGGTCTGGTGAAACAAGTAAGTACCGTATTTATTCATGTATAATACGATCTCAAGTATAATACCATCATTTTTTGAGCTTACAAAGTATAAAAATTTAATTATCAATAACCTGTGTATAATACTATCCCCCCACTTTATGGATCATTTTTAGGGTTAAATTTCTACTATTATACATGAATAAATACAGTAAGTGGGTAAGTCAGTCAGTCGGTCAGTAAGTCGGTCAGTAAGTATGTCAGTAAGTCAGTCAGTAAGTCAGTAAGTATGTCAGTAAGTCAGTCAGTCAGTAAGTCAGTCAGTAAGTATGTCAGTAAGTCAGTCAGTAAGTATGTCAGTAAGTCAGTCAGTAAGTATGTCAGTAAGTCAGTCAGTAAGTATGTCAGTAAGTCAGTCAATAAGTCAGTCAGTAAGTCAGTAAGTCAGTCAGTCAGTCAGTAAGTCAGTCACTAAGTCAGTATGTCTGTCAGTCAGTAAGTCAGTCAGTAAGTATGTCAGTCAGTCAGTAAGTAAGTCAGTCAGTCAGTAAGTAAGTCAGTCAGTAACAAAGTCAGTAAGTCAGTCAGTAACTAAGTCAGTAAGTCAGTCAGTAACTAAGTCAGTAAGTCAGCAAGTCTGTCAGTAAGTCAGTCAGTCAGTAACTAAGTCAGTAAATCTGTCAGTCAGTCAGTAAGTCTGTCAGTCCGTAAGTCTGTCAGTAAGTCTGTCAGTAAGTCAGTCAGTCAGTAAGTCAGTCAGTCAGTAAGTCAGTCAGTCAGTAAGTCTGTCAGTCAGTAAGTCTGTCAGTCAGTCAGTAAGTCAGTCAGTAAGTCAGTCAGTCAGTCATCAGTAGTCAGTCAGTCATCAGTAGTCAGTAGTCAGTCAGTAACTAAGTCAGTAAATCAGTGAGTGATTGGTTTGTTAACTTCCTCTCTGAGATGCAACAAGCCTTATCTTCACTTTATGTCCCAAACTGTTGCATTTCAGGTGAAGATTAGCTGAGAGCTTATTTCAGCTGGGCTGAAGTTAAACTAGGCAGATGAGAAAGAATGCAAAGTGCAGAATCTTCCAAAAATGTTTTAGTTGACTTAAAAAACGGTCTACATAATCATAATTACATTGACTTTTGAAAAAAAATCACTAAAGGAAAAATGTGTTTCCAAATTCAGTCCCCGAGTCGTCAGGGTGAGATTCAGTGTGATGATCAGAGCGATCTGCAGGTGTGCTCTGAATGTAGTTGACCCCGGGTGCACGAGTGACGCAGTGTGGATCTGAGACGTGCTCACATGTGAACAGGACAGCAGCTCCTTCATGATGTAGATGTCGTAAATCTGCCGGCTGCGGCTCAGGCGCTCCTCCTCCGAGTCCAGCTTCTCGTAGTCCTTGATCTGGAGCGGGAACAGGAGGTCGACACAAAAGCTCTTCCGAGGAGGACTAAATCTGAATGAGCTGGATTACGGGCCTATTCAGACAAGAAGACTTACCTCTTCGTAGAACTTGAGCTGTGGCACGGCCTCGTCGATCTCATGCGTGCAGAAGTCCTTGAACAGCAGGAAACCTGTGAGACACGGTGCAGAGTACTGAATGAAAACACTTTTCTAGTCTTGGCTGCAGCAACAGATGTGACGGTCCAACACTGAGACATGTAATCAGATGGACAGGAAGCACACGAGAATCAATAGTCAGGATCCCTGAGGAGGTTTTTATTCAAACGCTGATCAAATACAAGATGTTCTTCAATACAGCCATTTCCTTTACCCACTGGCTCAGATTCAGAGGAAGCTGCTGCATCACGATGTGGACAGAAATTATTCTGAATCCATTGTAAAATGTCAAACATGGATTAGTCTTTTCTGCTGACAGCATCATGTGGAAGAGGGCAAAACATGGAGCTCTGAAGTGCAGCACAGAGACTGTTTATTGCGTGAACACAGACACGTTCACATGATGTAGTAAGTAAGTCAGTGTTTGAAAGCTAAAGACAGAGTTAAACAGCCACACTATACCTGAGATGTGTATTCAGAGCAAGTTAGCTCCCAGCAGCCATGGCTAACCAAAGTAGCACTGTGTAAAAACCAGGGCTTGTGTGCTATGATTAGGGATGCAAGTTAGTGACTAATTAATCAATCTAAAGCTGACTGACCTTATCGATCGACTGATGATTAACTGATAATCGGCCATTTTCTTAAAAACCTGAGTTTTCTCTTGGATCAAGAGGGTCTTTCCATAACATCAAGGCCAATTTTTTTTATATAATACGCTGAATTTCAAAAAAGAAGCACCTCATTATATTTTAACAATTTATTGTGCCTGCTGTATTAAATACTGACTGAATAAACAAAAAATGATGGATTTCTCACAGATTATTAAACTTGGACATATTTATAAATATAACAAAACAGAAATCTATTGATGAATAATAAAAAAGATGAAAAGTAGGGCTGCACGATATTAGAAAATCCCGTGATGACAATATTTGTAAATATTGCAATGACAATATCAGGTACAATATGTCTTTTTTTCCTCCCTTTCTGATCTGTACTTCCTACTCTACATGATCTTTAGCATTTTTGGCACTGTGTGTCTGGTGTGAAGTTTTGCTGCCAAGAGACTCTGTTCTGCTGACTAAACATTGCATCTAATGAAAAACATCTTAAAAACCCTTCAGATGTATTTGTCAACAGTTACTGCACTCCACGCAGTCCCTTGCGATCTGAATGTTGCTCACACTCATATTGCAACAACGATATTTTCGCAATATATTGTGAAGCTCTAATGAAAATAATTAAATATACCTGTAGCTAAAAAAATAATAATAAGATTTTTTGAACTCTGAGGGGAAAGTGGGTCTAGCTGGACTCCAGGTGTTCTCTGTGGCTAGAACCTGCTTACTTCTGGGGCAACATAAACATCCTACTTTGTTTGGCAGAGCTCAGAACTGATGCTTGGTTCTGTTTGCCCAGCCAGCATGGTTCTGGGTAGGTAAAACACAAAACTGCACCCTAAAGGCCCTGTCCTACAGGAGACATCTACATTAAAGATAGAACTACAAATCAATTTGTAGCCTCTTTGAGGCGTGTACATACTGTAATGCTAACAAATTGATCAACTGTATCATATACTGTATATATACATATATATGCACACACACACACACAC